TCAAGAAAAACAAACAAAAAAATAAGAAAAATGGGAATTTGTACGTAAAATTCGTTTTCGACGAAATCGATTTTGATTTTTGTGTAATACAAGGCTCTTGATGTATTATTACAATATCTGTTGATAAATATTAAAAATATACATAAAGGCAGGTTCGATTTTGTTATATGAGCATTTAATATTCGAATGTTAGCAAAATGTATTGAATTTAAAATTAAAGAATTATTTCTTAATTAAAAATGTATGAAATGCTCAACTTTTATGGCTAAGGATAGAAAATTAAAATAAGTTTCCAAGTAAGTAGTTTATTCTGTATCTAAATAACTTAAATTTTATGTATAAACACAGTTTATTATAATTATTTTATGTTCAAATGTTGACGAAATTAAATTTAAAATAACAAAAATAACGATTTAAATTATTTTGTTGTAATATAAAAATAATATGTACGGGCTCTTGAAACTTTTTAAGTATATTATTATATTTTATGCACACAATGAATTTTCAAATGTAAATCTTTGGCAAAAATGAATTAAACCTACTGTTGTACTAATGGTAAAATAAATTAATTTTTTCACTATAATATAATTTAAAATGCTTAGTAATATTAAAGGCTGACAGAACGTATTTGTTTAGAATAGTTTTCGTATACAATGATTTTCTATCATTAAATTTAAATTTAACACTTCCATTACAATCATAAGTTTTTAACCTATTGTACAGCAGAGCGACATCCACTTATACGCTTTTTTAAATTTTATTTATTTATTAGAATAAACGTCAAACGATTCTTTGGACCAATATAAACAAAGTTAATAAAATTAACAATTTTAAGATAAGCAAAAGTAAGATATAAAAAAAATTAATTTGTATAACATATAAAACTAATTTTACAATCAGTTTACAGTCAATCACCTATAACTAAATGTATAATGTGAAGCATTGAAGATAGCCGTTGTACGAAAAAATAACACATTGCTATTGGCTTTTGATATCATTCTGATCAGTCCAGACATTTTAGCCCAATTAGTATGGTTAACTGGTAAGTAAAATATTCCCTTAAATCTGGTGCTACCAGGAACCAAAATATTGAGTCATTCTAACAAACGGGCTGGTCAATATTTCATTTAATAGTCCCAGCATTGATAAAACTACAAATGGAGATATTACGACATTCGGATACTGATACACCTTACCAGACCCATTGCTGATTTGACCATAGTCGTGGGGCGGGTGGGAAACATTGATCCGGTAAATTAACAAATCTCAGAAAATGATTCTGAACTTTATTCAGATTCCGTATGTCCGTTTAAGTACGACTATAAGTGTATGCAAGAAATTAATAATTTAAAGTTTAATACCATTTTCATATTATGATATATTTGTTCTATGTCTAATAATAAACGGGAAACGGCCATTCCCATCATTGTGTTTACAGCATTTGCACAATATAGTGATCTTGAAGGATTATTTTCAAATCCACTTGTTTCGTATAAAAATCTGTCTTTCAAGAATCGCATTTCATTCGTAGTGTATGGCAAAAGAGTGCGAACAGCTTCCCACCATATATTGATGACTGAAATTATATGTAAAAATATAAAATTAACAATATGTATATATTTATGTACTACTAGTAATTAATTTGTAGATACATCAAAGCTTTCAATACTTTACCATGACAAGTTTGGACACTGTATTACACATTACATAAGTTACATGAAAAAAAAACAATTATTATTCCTAGGTATGTTCATACTCACTTAATTGATCTTTATGTTTACTTATTAATTTGAATAGTGCTTCAAAATATTCAAAATTATATATTTGAATTAAATCAGTTTCAAAATCCAATGTTACATTTTTCACGTCCATAAATATAATTGTAAGGTATTCTTTCCAATCAATCTATACCGTTTGTATTTAAAATGTATTTTATTATTATTAATTTTAAATAATCATTATATTCTCTACATATAGGTAAAAAAATTAATTATAATATTATAAGTTGAGTTTGTTTGATTGGTAAGTAGACATGCAAGTATTTGTTCTCTACCTATGAGGTTATGTAAATTGTACTTTAATTGTAATAAAAGTTTTTTTTCTGTGGAATGTATTATAATGTTTATTATTGTACAATTTCGGAAATATATTATGGAGTTTTGTGAGGTAATATAATGAGAAAGTACTCACAATTGTTTCGTTTGTATCAGTGAAAATCTGTGTAACGTAATTTGTATACTCTTGTAATTCATCAACAGTCGTAACTACTGGAAGGTCTGGATTATCAGTATCATATATTTCATATATTATCTAAAATTAATCATACACTCATAATGTTAAAATGCAAAAGTAATAAAATAACGATTAATTGATTAATTACTTTTGAATGTTCATCATTGAAGCTTAATATTTCATCAATTTTAAGAATCCGTAGATATATTATACAATCAACATATTTTAATTCATACATTTCAACAAGAACGCCACATAAATATTTATTATATTTATTTATAAAATATTTATAATTTGTATGTGTTTCATCTTCATTTGGGTTAGCTGTTTTTTTTTCTTTTTCTACAGTTTCAATCAATTTTTTTGAACCCATTTTCTTAATTGTGTTTGTTAATTTGTAACTATTGATTGAAACATTGAGTTGGTAAAACTGTAGTAGATAAAATATAAAAATGTATATTCTTACACTGGAAATACATCTGTAGCACTTGGTTTACTTAGAGTAATTCGATTAAGTGTTCGATTTTTTGTATCTGATTGAACATTTACCATAAACAAATAGTCCAAGTTCATTCGTTTTTTTAATCTAGCTAAAATTGACGAGATATTTGATGCTTTTTGCCTATTGATAATCACATTGAACGGCAAACCACTTGTGTCTAAAATCTGAATTAATTGTTTCATAATATATGCCGTTTCCGTTCTATCTAAATATGCAAAAATAATTTTCGATAAGACAATTTGATTAAATAATGTTGGTTATAACCATATAAGAACACACCTATTGTAGTTGCCACGCAAGAACGATACAAACGCCTGGACTTTGATACGGAAGAAGGTTCATCGTCAACATCATCTCTTTCCAAAAAATCTAAAAACAACGTTCATATAACATTAAAAGTAGGTAGTGAAATGAAATCTAATGTGTAAATCTACCATATTTTACTATTATTCATTCCAACTGTTCAATAGTTTGTGATAACTATAGATATGATGACTATGTGATGTTATTTAAATATTGAAACGTTACGTGCTAGACCGGAATTGTGTTATAGCAGTGTGTAAACTGTAAATCTAATGTTCTAAATAACGTTTGTGATTTTTGTACTTAAAAAAAGGTTGATAAATCAAACATACTGCAATATCTTACTATACTCGTCAAAAATATAATAGAGTCTTGTCATTTTTGTTATTCTACACTGATATTACGTCAATTCAATACCAGTATACCTCAAAACTATCCTATCCATATTTTATACAAAATTAGTTATTACAATAAAGAACAAAAAACAAAATGTAAAGCATCAAGTGATTTCATACCTTTTTTAAGTACTAACATTGATGATTGCACTGCGACAAACCGATCATTTGAAATAGCTGTTTTAGGTATTTTATGCAATTTTCCGAAATTTCCACAAGCAAATTGATAAAAGTCTTCACATGGATCAACAGATTTATTCATTGACTCAACTAATGCTATAGCTACATTATAATAAAATATATAACATTAATTGTAAGATATTACAAATGCTTATAATATTCCATTAAAACATCCCTAATTAATAATTATGCTTCAATGCTTGTAATATAAACGAACCAGATTTTAAACAGTTATTTGTTGTACAAGTCCGTGTCTGGTCTTTCGTCATCTTTTGATCTAAGCAAGAGAACAAAAATATTGAAAAATTGTTTTGAAATTGTTGATCCAATGGTTACTTTGAAGAGAGACTTACAAAAGTAATCATTACTGATAGTACGAACCAAGGGATATTCTAAAATGAAAATTATACCTGCATGTCGGCAAAGCTATAATTTTTTGCTTCAAATCAATATTTGTGTATTTAAATAAAATATATATTTTTGTTTTGAATGTCCTGTGGTACAAGACCGCGCGTGATTCATTTTTTGTCAGTTAATACAATTTATGACTACGCAATGCTATGTCGACAATCAAAAGAAAACATTTAAACGACACTTAATGTAATGAAAAAACATGTATTTATGTATTTTAATTCTTACTAGGAAATTATAAAATAATATTAAACAGAAATTGTATTTTGTATATCAAATCTTTTAGTTTAATACCCAACGAATAAATTAAGTAGGTAAAAAGTATATTATAAAGTATGTACACATTTTTCCACAATTTAATGTTATGGGCTTGGCACACTAATTCCGGGTTGCATGAAAAATGTATTAATTTAAAGGCCTAATACAATTTAAAGGAAAAATCGTGGGCCACTAAGTCGTGTTTAGAAGATTATTAGCTCACTATTGATTCGTTAAATGTTAAGTGATTGTTCATGAAACCCAGTATAAGCATGTCAATCGGCCATTTGAAAAATATGTATTTTGTAAACTTTTATGTTTATAACATTTATTAAGTACATTATTTATAAAAAATCAATACTCACAGGCAAATGATAATCCGAAAACAGCTATAATGAGCACTGCTAATATGAATATTAGTAATATTAAAACTATATATAGGGTTCTTCGGCTTTCCATTTTGTTTTTGAACCTGTTTTGAGATCACATTAATTTGATAATATGAAATACCCTAACCCATATTTAATTAATCTTTCCCAATTCTTCTATGATCTTAAGGATACAAAGACTATTTTTAAGTTGTATTGAATCAAATACAAACATAATGATTTGTAGATCTTAAAACTACAATGAGTTTTGTTATTTGAAAATTGGTGTATTAACATTTTACGTTTGAATACTTTGATTATTTTTCCAATTGATTGACTGAAATCTTTATAATATAATTAGGTGATCCCATGAACTTCGTTGTCCGTTAAAAAAGCCAACTATTTAATTAATAATTAATTTTCCATTCATCTTTCTTAATTTCTTCCTTAAGAACCTTTTCCTGGCAATAATGAATAAAAAAAAAAATAAGTGAAATCAGAGCAGTCGTGATGCCGTGACCAAGGGAAATATTGATTAAAATAGAGAAAAATATTTTTTAAAGGCCACCCTTAGTAGCTCGGGGTTTAAAAAATAGCCTATATCCTATTTTTAGACCCATCAAATATACACAAACAATTTCACGAAAAGCAGTCAAGTGGTTTCAGAAGAGTTTAATAACAAACCCTGTGACCGCAGAATTTTATGTATACGATATCAATTTTAAGTTTGATAAATATATTTGAAAGTTGAGTTTATTTAACTTGTCTAAGAAAATAATATATAATTGCTAATTAAATATACCTAGGTATATTTTTAAAAATAATACTTGAAATATAGATTAATTAAATATCGGCCACTTACATCTTAAAATAGCCCGACTCTATATCTAGATCTTTAAATCCACCGCCATTTAGTTTACTAGTTGGTAAATCTTCGTCATCACCTATCAAATTTAAAAAAAAAAAATGTATTTTGATTAAAATAAAAACTAAACTATATTTAAAAAATTATTATCTATCGTTTCATTATAAAATATTACAGCCTGGTTATTTCTTTAAATCATTTTAATTCCAAGAGTAAAAATGTGTATCTGTATAACTGTACTTAATGTAACTAATTATCTTACCGGCAGAATCGCCATGACTACCTAGAGATAATTCGTACTTGTCGAAAACTTTAAATTAAATGTTTCAGAAATGATTATTATCAATGCTGTCTAGAGACTAGAAGCCATTTAATTGATGTGTTAAATTTGAATTAAATGACATAAAATCATTGTTTACTAAAAACGATTCTGAGCCAAGACATTCTGTCAGTCTATGTGTTATGCACTGAGGTCTGCACTTAGACTTAATAATAAGTGATGATAGCTTTTCTTAAAGGAGCACACAACACAAATAAAAAAATTCTTTAAATTTTTTTTAAATGTTAAAGTATTGTAGTTATGGTTATATGAAATGATTTTGTGAAGAAACGATGTAAAAATAAATATTACTTTAAGAGATATTAAAAGATTTAGAATAGCCTAATGACGTCACTGGGCCGGAGTCATCGTAATTGCCTATCTTAAACGTGTAAAAGTTCCTTGCTTCATTCAACGATTTATCCACCTAAACTTTTTCTTTTTAAAATTTAATTGACGTATAAATTTGTGGTTTTCATGGCGAGCGGCGCGTGGCGTTCGAACAACGGGTCCGCCGTTTAACCAAAATGTCTGTTTTAAGATTTTTAATATTTAAAAAACTAAATATCGTATTGAAATTCTGATACTTGCATCGTCTTAAACACATAAAACCACATATTTACATGCAAATTAAATTGCAAAAATAAAATGTTTAGGTTGATAAATCGTTGTGTGAACCGAGGAACTTTTATACGCATAAGATAGGTAATTACGATGATTCCGGCAGAGTGACGCCACACGTCTTTTTTCAACTGCTCATAACTTATTGAATAATGTGAGTAGAAACGTAAAACCTACACCATTATCCTTAGAATTGAACATTCTTTAAAATAATAAAACTTATTTTTTGTGTTGTGTGCTCCTTTTAACACAAAACAAATAGAGGTGAGACATTTCTTTATAAGAATCTTAAGACATAATTAATATACTCAGTTAGAGTACATTTAATAAATGATATATAGTTTAATAGTAAATATAAGCACCGAATCCGTAATAAAGCATACGTAAACACTTACTGGCATTCGAACATTTTTACTGTAAAATAATTTTTCCACTATATAGAAATTAACATATGCATACGCCATACAATATATAATACATCTTAACAAGTAGGAACTTTCACATTTCATTTTATATTCTAATAAGCAGAGGGATGAAAGTATAGATTTTACAATGATGTGAGTCACATCAATTCTGTGCACAGTGCGAAATTTTATAAACTAAGTGACCCACCTTCTGTACGCCGACTCAAGCGTGGACGCCCACACGACCTGTTGTTATAACTATTATTTATTATTATATTATTATTTTTGTTTTTTTTTTTTTCGATTTGTAAATACTTTAAAACTTAGTAGATAGTTTCTATTTTTACTAATAATTTTTTTAATTATTACTAATTATTATATTTTTTTCCAAATGATAAAAAAAAATGTATCTAATCAACATTAAGTTAAGATGACATATGTCAGTAAAACTTTATTTTAATAAAAAATTAAAAAAAAAAAAAAAAACAATGATATGTGTGTGTTTTTTTGTGTCCATCGACCGTCATCATCAATTTGGACACAAAAAGGACTTTGATTTCTTCAACAACACCTTGTCTTTTAGGAAGGTTAATTTAGTTGGTATTTAGGGGGGTATAAAATAAAAAATTCCCAATAGTTTTCAAAAGCGGCAGGAAAAACAAACAAAAAATGAAGGGAAAACGGGAATTTTTACGGAAACCGGCTTTCGACAAAGTCGATTTTGGTTTTTGACTTAAACCTAAAAAAAACAACTGTAAATAGTAAATACATGAAATTTTTACTGAATGGATGTACTCACATTTTCTATATACCATACATTTTTCAAAATATTTTGACTTTTGTTAAACTATTTATAAGCATATTAAATTCTCGATTATTACTAGATTTTTTAAAATGAATATTGATAACAATTTTTTCACTCGGTTAAAAAACTTAAAAATATAATACAACGTTCCACGAAATTGAAATTTGTTGTTAATGAAAAATTAAAAAAAAAGCTGAGCGCAAATCCACAGTATTTTTTATAAGCTTTTAAGTTTTAAATTTTGTCAAAATTCAGAAAAATTACTAAAAATTGCAAATTATTTTGAAGTAGAAGAACGTTTTTTTTTTATATCTAAGATTTTAAAATTTGATACTAGCTTCCTGATAAGTTTATCAATAAGAAAATTTCTACCGGAAAGTTAAATAAAATTTTTATGAGTGTTTGAAGTTGACATTTTGACAACATAGGATATTCACCTCGATTTCTCATGTAGCGTTTTTCTTATTTTGTTGTAATTCAAAGACGAAAGACTATAGATCCTTAAAATTTATTCCACATGTTTATCTTATAAATTTATATACTTGATTCAAAGTATTAAACATTTTTTTAATGGTTTTGAGCTGTTTACGGACATTTTCAATTTTCAATGTATTTAGTTTTTATTTCAATAAAATATGCCAATAAAATGTTATTTGTTGGGCAATTGACAACTGTAAAAAAAACATAAGTACGATTTATTTTTATAAGCATTTAAAGTTCACCTTTTGACAAAATGTATCAAATTGAAAATGTACAAATCATTTTTATAGTTAAATATTTATAAAATGTTCAACTCTTATAAGTTGTAAGTCTGTTACAGAACTCAGAATATTAAAATATTTTTTTTTATTCTGTAGAATCATATTTGTTAGGAATTCCGGCATGTACGTCGAACTTCAAGTAAAATTTAAAATATTTTATTAATTTTTTATTAAATATGTATATTTTATGTAATTATTCAGAAATGTGCATTCATTATGCAAAAATATTTTTTTTGTAGTTATTTTTTGTTCAAATTTGGACGAAATGACATATTATTAAATAACGGAGAATATTGATTTAAGTGATCTAGTTGTACTTTAAAAATATTAATCGTGGGTATGTATACTTGAAACTTGTATTATTAAATTTTATACGCTCAATGACTTTTCAAATACATTTTTTTGTCAAAAATTGATTTAACTCACTGTATTACTAATAGTAAAATAAATAACTTGATTCAAAATAACATTATCAAATATACTAAATTACCAAGTAATATTATAGGCTGACGACCGTCTTCGCTCGGAATCGTTTTTCGTGTGTTATGATTTTATATCATTGCATTAAAATGTAACACCACCCATAACACTGACCCACTTAATACCTACTGTGCAGCAGAGCGACATCCACTTACTGACTTTTTATTTTTACCGATAATGAATTTTGGCTTATGCCAAAATTCACTAAACCATTCATGACTTTTAATTCTTTATATTAAGGTCCTTCTCAATTAGTGAAAATAAGAAACTGTAAGTTTGTCGCAGGTTGAATATGATATTCACTTAAGACGCCTCTTGCAAATTTTTAGAATATTATTTTTCAGTAAACAGCGCCATTATCTCAAAATAATGAAATTTGCGGTTACCGAGTTTAGGAAAAAAGCCAAAGTTGGCTAATGACCAGGGATCGGGACTTGAGCATTACGTAATTTGTATGGATTGCCTCAAAATGCAGCAGAGCGCTGTGAACGAGTATGTCATGTTACAAGACGTTCAATTGTGATGTTTGAAAGTGCTTTTTTTTGTTTTTTTCAGCGATTTATTTAAAAAAAATGCTATTTCCAGTTTTCTTGATTATTTTTGCTTTTTTGATCAGTTTTTCTATTGTTTTTATGGTTTTTTCAAGCGAAATTGTTTTTGGTATAATTTAAATTAAAAATAATTCTTATCTTATTTTCGTTGTCGCTTTGTCCGTGGCATCGTTGGTGGGTTAACGGGGTGTAATATAAAGATAAAGATTTTTTTTTCTGATTTTTTGGTTAGGATTTTTTTTTTATATATTTGAATAAATATTTTAGCTTGAATTTAAGTTTTTTAAACGCTTATTTGAATGCTCATAAAGACGATTTCAAGTGATATAGGTCCCGAGCCATAACTATAACCAATCGCGCCACTATTTCGATATTTGTTTCAGATACATCAACATTTCTAAAATAACTATTATTGCACCTATTGGTTTATCTCTTTAATTGGTACAACAATTCAAAGGTACACGAAAACATGTTTTTATGTTTAACTATAGTTTAAAAAAATCAGAATAATTTGAATAAATCTATTATTAAGGAAAAAGGGGGTAGCGTCGTTGGCAAATTACCCTATGTATAACGTTCATCTATTATGCTAACAATAATTATTGAATATTGAAGTACATACCTGACATTTCAATGTCCATGTTAAAAAATTGGTGATCTTAAATTTTAAAATGAACAAAATATTAAGTGTATAATTGTATTATAACAACGTCCACGAGTAACTAATCAATACTGGTCGTGCGAAAAATAATCACATTTTTCACGTACCTACAGGTTATTATGTCAGGATACTAAAATAAATTATGTGGTGCATTGTAGACTGGTTTATAGATAACGTTTTAAAGATATTTGTAATAAGCTAATAACATTAACATTAAAAGAAAATTGATATATATTTCAATTTTTGTATTCGTGATAATATAATTAATTGGCCTCATGTATGAGTTGCTGAAAATCACTCCACACTCCACAGCATATTTTCCGATCAGAACACAACAATTTTAACAACTGTAACACGACTATAGACAGGTCCGTTAACGGACCTATTATAGACGGAAATTTTTTCAATCAACCTGACTATTGTTGACTTAAGAGAAAAATGGGAGGAAGTGGGTACCGCTCCACTTTACATAAGGTTTATCATAAAATCTCTACTGACCGTAAACGGCGTAAACCTATAGTATAAGGCTTTCAAGTTTTTTGAGAGAAAAATTTTTTATTGACTATAATTTTAAAAAAACTGATACAAATCAATATTTTCTTATGTCTGTTAATAGCTCACAACAATTTAATGTTGTATGGTGTATAGAAAACATATTGATAATAAACTTAAACATCCAATGAAAATTTAATATATATACAGTTATTAATTTGCTTCAAAATTCCCGTTTTTAATTAATTTTTTTTTCAGACTCTTTTATTAATTATTGGGGATTTTCATTTTTTACCTCACAGATGCATCAACTTTATTCCCATTACATTTTCCTAACAGAAAAGTTACTGAAAGTAATAATTCTATGGATTATTTCTAAAATTACTGGGTACTTATCGTGTACACAGATTCAAAAAAAGTCACAGTCAGCTCAATGTTCATTAGTGTCTGACTGGATCGATGAATGTGTATTGATTTTACAATGATGGATGTTATGATGCCCTTTTATTTAGATTTATGTAGTGCGTAATATATTTTTAGACGAGCCTCAATTTACATGTAAATATTTTTTACACATTGACATTTTTTTAACGCATATTTGGTTGATTTTTAATTTATACGAATCTCTAAAATGGACTTATTGTGAACGATAAGTGAATGTTCAGTGTTGTACAGACATGCAAATGTGAGTGTAATATATGTTGTTTGTCATCGAATATTTTATCGTTGACTAATCCATAAAATAAGCATGTAATAATGACGTTTAATAATGTATGGATATTCTATTATGAACATTTTATTAGTACGTATTATTTTCTAGTACTCAAAAACCTCAAAATATGTTTGCATATATGCAATTAATAAACAAATAATATGCACTTCATATTCTCTAAAAAAGTGTAGGTTATGTATAAAATATGAAATCTAAATTACCTGTACAGTGGTCCATTAACATTTATGTATATACATATAATTGTAAGTATTTATTTAAAAACAATTCCTATCTTATTTATTTATATTTTTTACTTATGATACTTAAATTGCCAAAGGGCACAGAATACAGTATTAAATGAAGACATATAAAATAGAGTAAAATTAAAATAAATTTAGTTAAGTAGTAACTTTAGAGTAATATTACAAAAACAAGATAATTTAAATACATTATTAATAAAATGTGATGATGAATTAAAAAACATATCAGCACTAGGTATAAATGCATAATATTATTTATAACACGAAAAATACGAACTTGGGTTACTGTTTTAAGTACTATGAAAATGGCTTTTAATTAAGCGATGAGTTAAAACAAAGAACTCCCACTGAGAGATAGTGTATCATAGAAATCAATTAAAGCTCGAAGCAGTTTAAAAACATAAGATAGGTAGGTAGGTGCATTATTTGTAGGAAGTCTGTCATGTAATAATGTGTAGGTATACAAATATTTTCAATATAATTATGTATATCTATTTAGAATGATCGTATAACAGTGAGCATAAGTAAAATCGTTGTCCGTTGATAATAGGTTAACTTTATTTTATCATTCTTTGAACACGGTTTTAAATGTATTTTTAAAAGATCGTTTAATACAATAATTATGACAAAATATATGGTTTTTAAAACCTCTTGTTAGTTATCAGTTATCACATTATACATTCATATAGATTTGTAAGTAGATAACCATAAGTATCTTCTAAAGCTAAGCAATTAATAAAATATATTAATAACATAATGACTTAACGAAATACTTTCATACGAATCACATTATTTGGTAACAACAGTGTCCTAATGGCATTAAAGCTTATAATTATATAATAATAATATAAAAGTAAGACATTTATGATGTTTATGGTAATACAATTATTAATAAAAACAATTTTGATCTCTGTAACTATTACCATATCTTACATTTATCATTCTTTGGATTCATTCCTGAACCTTTTTCACATTTCCATACTTCACTAAATTCATCTGAATTGGTTAATCCTGCAATCACTCTTATGCTATTTGGACTGTGCTCGTCTAATATGCTGTTCGATAACGACTCCCGTGTTGTTGCTTCACACCAATTCTAATAAACGATTTTATGTTATTACATATGGTTAAATAGTACAATAAAATATTATATTTTTTATATTTTATAAATAGGCAGCTATCTACTTACATTTGCAAAAGCTAAATAATACATTTGTTCATTACTGTACTGTTCAAATCCAGGTAGTTTAGGTTCTTCACCGAAATCATGAACAAATTTTCTATATGCCAACAATGCTTCTCTCAATCCACCATTATCAGCAATATTTTCATCCAATGTCATTTTACCACTTATCTTAAATTACATATAGGTATAGTTAGTTGATTTTTTTAAATGATTATAAATTAAAATTATATTTATTTTGGTAGGTTTGAAGAAGACTTCGGATTTTTATATAATTTTACTAACCTACCAAATATTTTACATCTATTTATAGTTTAGTATAGTTGATAATTTATTACTCAAAAATCGTATTAGTAAATATGTCTTGAAAGTAAAACTATTTATCATTTTATTTTTTTTCGATTCTAACTTTTAATATTTTATTGTAAAATATTGCTCGGTGTTTAGTTATTTAAATTTACACATATATAATAAAATACATACAACATATTATAAAATTATATTTTATAAAAATAACATTTATTCTATCATCTCCAACAATGGAACCCCAAAAAAGTAAATATTTAGGCACTGGCAAACTACTGAAAACTAAGATAGATTGCGAATTAAAAAATATCACAAGCAAATTAAGTTCATAAAATAATTTCATGAAGTTGTAAATATTGAAATTTGAAATCGCCGAATATGGATATTCTAACCTACGATTGATCTCATAGTTAGGATATTTATATATTATAATATACTGTATACAATATTTAAAATACTAGTATTGATTGATTACATTACATAATGTTTATAAATGTGCAACATGTATTTAATGGTGAGACTGTCAGAGTTACAATAATTGTCCATTTAAAAAAAAATCTGAGGAAAAGTGTGTATAATTAACTAATTTTAACTTTGCAGCACAATAATTAAATTTGAAAAATACCTTTTCTTCGATATCAGGTACTAAATAAGATCCATAATGATGAATGAAACAATCAGTTCGTTTTTCATACTCCGCAATAGTTTTATTAGTCCACCACATATTTTCATTTCCATCATGGTCAAATTTTCGGCCAGTATTGTCAAAGCCATGTGTCAGTTCATGGCCCAGTATGGAACCAAGAAAACCATAGTTGAGCATCCTTAAATCAATAAAAATAAAAATTACTAATCAGTACATTAATTTATCTTTAATAATCTTCAACGTACTGTAAATCATGTCCAAAGAAAGGAAATTGTAATATACCAGCTGGAACGGCTAAAAATCAATAAATTTTATTTTTCTTTGAGTAATTACTACATTTAATTTAGTGACATTTATAAAATTGTATCAATTACTTATAGCATTTGCTTGGATCCAATTGTACGCATTAACTTCTAAAGGATCTGATGCCCAACTAAAAAAATATAGATTTTATAGGAATATATTATTACAAATCATAAATTTTTACTCACGAGTTTATTGTGTAATTATTTAATTGCCTAAGTCCTAACAAAGAGTTGTTTAAGTCTTGTTGAACATAAAGTATAACGTTGCCAAAGTAGTCATTTTCTATTACTTCAAACTAAACAAATATTCAAAATAATCGTCCAAAGAGTATACAAAATAAATACAAATTAATGAAATACGGATAAAATATGTACTTCAGAGTAGTATTCATCGAGTTGAACCGGATCATTTATGAACTCTGGAAAGCCGATGAACGTTGTCATTTGCTGTGCCTTGTACAATGTTCTGAGTTTGGTAATATCGTCCATCCAATTTAACTCTTTAACTATTTTTTCAAATGCCCAATGAATATTTTCGATCATCTCGGCTGCCTAAAAAACACATCGCTATTATTTGTATTTACAAAATGTCAATATTTTGAAGTATAATACCATTTTTGTGTTATTATATATTGACTCTATGTCTAACAATAAACGTGAAACAGCCATTCCCATCATTGAGTTTACAGCATTCGCACAATAAAGTGATCTTGAAGGATTATTTTCTAATCCTGTGGTTTCATAGTAGAATCTATCTTGTATAAATCGCATCTCATTTGTAGTGTATGGCAAAAGAGTGACAACCACTTCCCACCATATATTTATTTCTGAAAGAAGTTATAAAAATAAACATTTACAACATTTATAATAAATAATATTAATTATTGGTTAGTCAAATCTCGAAATATTTTATCTTAACACATTTGAATATTATTTTATAGTATAAATATATTATATATTAGCTGTCCAGCCTGACTCTGCCCGTGCCCAATATTACTATTTGTAATAAATATTTTGTGAAAAAAATGTTTACAATACATTTCTTTTAGTTATAATAGTAATATAATAGGTAACCATTTAGATAAACAAAAAAACTTTTTTTTTTGTAAACTGAAAAAACTCATATGTGAGCTACTATTTAGCTTCCTACAGGAATTGAAATAATAAACTATAAAT